CCCCACCCCTCCCCCACAAACAAAACATTGTTTCATATCTGTCCTAACATCTCAAATGTGCCCTCTGTACTGTAGTTTGCAGCTGACGACACACAGAAAGACTAAATTGGGGGAAGGAGAGGGTCGCAGGGGACTCTCTCGTCTCCAGCACATGCTGTCAGGTATTATCCAACGTCCGTCTCTTCGTCTGAACAAGAAATGAAAGAATCCAGAGATTTTTACTTTTAAAAAAGTATTTAAAATGTCTGGGTTGTCCATTAGAGACACCTGGACAGGTCTAAAGTCCATTAGGGACGCCTGGGCAGATCTAAAGTCCATCAGAGACACCTGGGCAGGTCTAAAGTCCATCAGAGACACCTGGACAGGTCTAAAGTCCATCAGAGACACCTGGACAGGTCTAAAGTCCATCAGACACACCTGGACAGGTCTAAAGTCCATCAGACACACCTGGACAGGTCTCCAGACCATCAGAGAAACCTGGACAGGTCTACAGTCAATCAGGGACACCTGGACAAGTCTCCAGTCAATCAGGGACACCTGGACAGGTTTCCAGTCTATCAGAGACACCTGGACAGATCTCCAGTCCACCAGAGACACCTGGACAGGTCTCCAGTCCATCAGGGACACCTGGACAGGTCTCCAGTCCATCAGGGACACCTGGACAGGTCTCCAGTCCATCAGGGACACAGACAAAGAGACAACCATCCTCACTCAGTCACATCTAGTGTCACACAGAACAGATGAGATCTCTGGACTCAGATCATTTGACAGAGTTCTGATCACCTGTCATCAATAATAATTTACTATGATAAATTATTATTGATGAGTATCAGAGGAGTCTTTAACATTAAGATGCAGTCAAATATTCACACATTTGGAAATATATTACTATAGTAAATGGTAAATGGACTGTACTTATACAGAACCATTCTATCCATCCAGGACACTCAAAGCTCTTCACACAATCTGTGTCCTCATTTATCCATTCACACAGCACTCTGTTAGCTCTCTACAGAGATAACATGTACAATCATCTATGGAGACTAATCAGTGCCAATCACATTCATACACTGATGGGACATCAGAGGCATTAGGGCTGAAGTGTCTTGCCCAAAGACACAACAACTGAGACAGCTGGACGGGGGATCGAACCAGCAACCTTGTGGTTCCTGGACGACTCCCCTAATCACTCTGCCACAGTTGCCACCTCTTTGAAGGTGAGTCGTGCCAATTTATGTTTGTCTAAAACAAGTAGTCGCCTAAAGTCTGAAGTCTCCACAAGTTTCCTTTGAGAAACATAATTCTGAAATTGTTTCCATGACTTTAGTTGCAGTTCTTCACAGACTGGTGAACCTCTGCCCATTCAGCCTCYCTAAAACAGTTTTATTTTAAACATGTTGGCAGCTAAAAGCTCCTCTGGCTGTTTCTTACAATATTTTAACCTTTTCTTATTTTTTAGATGTGTTTCTGCCATCAAATGCAGAATTATGTTTTTTTCTCTAAAAATTGTACAGTTTGACATGTTTGCTCCACTGTGAACAAAATATGGGTTTAAAAGATTTGCAAATGACTGCATTTTATTTTTGTGTGCACTTTACACGATGTCCCAACTTTTTTACAATTAGGATTACTCTCAAAAACAAAATTATTGTGTTGTATTTTTGGACATTTCTAGATGTGTCTTTTTCTGATTTGGCACTGCAGTCCAACAGTATTTACCTTATATAAGGCTCTGTGCTGCTTTCCCCCGTCAGCTGGTCCTTAGTCAGATAGGTGTTGTGAGAGGAGGAGATAAAGTAGTGTGACAACGGGTGTTTCATGTTTTGGTAAACTCGTGTGTGTTCCGGGTTCAACACACAGTTCTCCTTAGACAGCATGTACATGGTGAAACCATTGGGGGTCATCAACTGGTTTCTCTGGGCTGTACAAGACAAAAAGCACAAACACAACACAACACAATACTTAATAAATGACCAAAGTGATAGTTTTTTCACAATGCAGTTAACTGAGCCAAAAAAAAACTGCTGAAAGTTACGTATATTACCACGGTTCTACGATCCTGGATGACCACTAGAGGGCGATACTGACAGCACTGAATGCTCCCTACCACTCACAATAGTGTCAACAAAGTCACAACTGTGACTCATCAGATTTACAGTTCCCTCCATGTGCCTCGTTCTTTTCCTGTACTGTAAGTTCGCTGCCTTGCCAGCATTTGTTTTATTATTATTGGTGGTAATTTTTGACTGCGTAACTTTACAAACGGCACCCCATATACTTGAGTACTGCAACAATTTAAATGTACTTAGTTACTATACAGCTCTGCATTTAAAGTACAAAATACTGAGTTAAAGCTTCCTCTGAGTGAGTACTTCCTTTCTAAGAAGAGCAACAACATGTCCAAGAAGAGCCTTGATTGGATTAGTGTGTGTGTTTATTTTGTTGCGCAGCATCTTACCCCACTCATTCAGCTCATAGATGAGGATGAGGCTCTGGGCATGTGTGAGTGACGTGTCCTCCCCTTGATCCTTCAAGAAGTCCCTGAGGTCCAGAGTGGACAGCACACAGCCGTTTGCAGAGTAGCGGATGAAGATTGCATCCAGTTCTGGCCTCCGAAGCAACTCCCTGCAGAAAACCTCGATCTCTTCATGGTCCAGGCGCCCATCAGCTGATTGATCACATTTCTGTCATTCAGACAGAGAGCGTCACTTTTTATCAGCTCTCCACGTGTGAAACAACTGACCTGAGCTCACAGTCTGTGTGCTCCTCTACCTGGAAGAGGCTGCGAGCGTACTGATCACTCAGGTCGATGTTGATCATATGCAGCAGCGTTTGGACCTCTCCATAGCTCATCTTGTCATCACGGTTCTGGTCTGCCCGACTCAGGTAAGCATGGATCCAAGTAACACCAAACACAGTCAAGGAAGCAGTTTTTCATCAACATGATTGGCATGTTTTGTTGATGGAATTAAAACAAATTCCAATAATTTTCTTAATTAAAAAAGACGTTAGTATGCACTTCTGTATGTTTTGAAGTTTTTTTTAAAACTGATTTGATAGTTTTTACTTCAGTGTTTGCAGGAAAACCAAGAGTTTACCTTTTTAAATTGAAAGGAGCAAACACAACACAAACCAAGTTATTGAAGGATATTGATCAAGTTTTTCCTTCTGGCTCATGTTGTCTATCCTCTCCTGCAGGGTTCTAATGCCTCGGGCCCAGTGCTGAGCCTGCTCCTTGCTGTCGCAGAGGAGATCCAGGCTCTTTCGAGGCCCTTTGAAGACCACCGTTAAACACCGGCCCTCAGGTACAGAGCCGACCAGCTGCCGCAGTGTCTCTGACTGGCACCCTTCACGAACACACTCCACCTCCATGATCGAGACTGAGGGACAGGAAGAGGAAGGAACAAGTGAGTAAAGAGCAAGTACTGATTAATTTAAACAAGTAGAGTAGGTACTCTGGACAAGTTCTTCTTTGTTAAAAATGCTTCATCTCTCCTCCATCAGACTTCTTCAGTCTGAGGACTTTCAGGTAAACTCTGTGCCTTGATGGTGGACCAACAGGTTTAATAACGACAATCAACACTGTTCACATGCAGAAGAGGATAGATAAGTCACACCTGACTATAAGTCACAGGACAGACATGTAATCTGGAAAAACACAATAACACAGAGAACGTAGCTCATGCCTTTGATTCTGAATAGCCTTAAGTAACAGATGACACAGCTGACAGTAACTTTTGTTTGTAACGGCTATAACTTTTTTCATCCAAAGTTTTTTTCCTTCGAGTTTAGTGTAGTTCATTTTTGTTGTGACGTAAATAAAACAAAATAAAATTGAATTTGTTTGAAATATTGATCTCTGCCGGTGTCTACAGTGAGGCAGCTCTGTGTTCAAACACAGCCAGCTGGGCCCAATGCCTTCCAACAGTCCAGTTACCAGTAAGTTCACCAGTTTCATTCCACATCATCTGATTAGCTTTCTTCATTGTCTTCAGTGCAGTAAGATAACCTGTGCTTTATTGCTAGTCTCTCACAGGTTACTCATTCACTTGCTCCAAACATGCTAGCCTGGCCCTGGCCTTCCTATGCAGCTCCGCTCAATTCTAGTTTCCCTTCTCTGCTCCGTCTGGGACTTCTCCCATTGAGATGGATTTCACTGGCAGATTTTTAGCCGGGCCAATCAGAGAACAGAACGTTAATTTTCTGCGCAGTGTCTGCTTGTAGTTTATTTTACCTGGACCAATCAGAGAACAGAACATCAATGTTCTGTGCAGTGTCTGCTTGTAGTTTATTTTACCTGGACCAATCAGAGAACAGAAGGCGGAGTTTTGAATGACGTCATGTTCTGCTCAGTGTCTGCTAGTTAGTTTAGCATACAGCAGTGGAGGAAGTGAATGAAGCCAGTCTGTGTTGATAAGACTTCAAATTAAGTTGAGTTTGTCTGACAAAGCAGCAGCTCTCATTTACAGTCGTCTCGTTCAGCTCGGTACATTTCTCCTCTCAGTAGGGTTGTTTACAGCACACGCGATTTCCGGTTAGCTTCTTAGCTTAGCCTCCTTCACACCAACAACACACACATGCTTCAGCAGAGGCCACGCCTCCAGCAAGAATCACTTCTCAATAGCAGCAAGTCCAGACCCTCGTATGAAGCAAAGTGAAGGACAGGGTCTGGTTTTTACCAGGCCACAAACTTTCTCCTAACGACAACAAACAACAACAGATACTGCAGTAGGCTAATCACAAGCCTAGAGCTCCACCTAGAGGCTGCAGATTGTAATTTCATGAACGTGACATTACAATCTGGACCCAGTGTAACTGGGTTTCGTGCATGCACTATGATGCAGTTTACTTGGCATCTGAAAATACATTTCCTCAACGATATTTTGCATCTGAAAAGAGCTTCACTGAGTGAGAAGTAATTTTAGGAGCAGCAGACAGTTTAAGTTTCACTTTCACTTTGCTCTGTCACTGCCGAGAGCCTGCAGGAGTCATGGGCGGGGTGTGGGGTGGGAGGTGCGCTCGAGAAGGGGTTATCTACGGAATCAAAGTGGGCGTGTCACAAGAGTGGGCGTGTCTAAAGCATAAACACTGTGGGCTACGAGGCCTACATGACGGTATCCTTAGACCCTGCTTGACCTCTATACAGCCTGACCCTGACCCCAACACTAAGGTTAACCAGTAGAGATGGGCGGATTGATACTAAATATCGATAATATCAATACCAGCACTGGTACTGATATTGAACAATACTCGTGTAAAAAGATCGATACTCAAGCTTTGTTCCTTACCGCACACACTGACTGCTGCACACACAGATTTTTCAAAGTCTACTCTCTGTCTGTAGTGCTGCACTTGTTGTTGCACCGTCACGTGGCTCAGCAGCGCTAGCCAAACAGCTAAGCTAACTAAGCAGGTAGGCTGGCTGGCCCGCCCACTCAGTGTTCTCACCGAGCCCTCTACCTCGGGAGATTTTGTTTTAAGTTGTGTTGAGTGATATTTTTTCCTGTTTATTTATATAAAACAGAATTGTATTGAAAGGAAGAAAATTCCTTATTTTTTGTTTTTCCTAAGAACAATTTTATTTAATAAAAGAAACAAAGAAATAACTAGGAAAGATGTCTAGTGGTGAGGGAAGAATTTTATTTTATTTTTGTATAAAAGATTTATTTTCCTAATGTTAAAAGAAACTGTTTTGTCACTGTTTTATTGTTGGCAAGCAAAAATATTGATTGTTATAATAAAGTATTTTGTTGTCACGTACAATGTTTGGTGGAATTCTACAGAGCCCGCGAGGGGACATGGGGGGATTGTTTTTCCTTTTGCGTTCCCACGCAATACTTTTTGCGTTCCCTCGCAATACTTTTGTATTCCCACGCAATACTTTTTGCGTTCCCTCGCAATACTTTTGCGTTCCCTCGCAATATTGTTTTGCGTTCCCATGCAAAAGATTGTTTTGTATATGAACTGAATTAAACATATAGTAATATAGTAATATAGTTATATAAAATTCTGCTTCCTAATTTTGTTTTATGATTATATTTCAGACAGTTCATTCAACTGATACATTGATAAGGCATTTATTCATTATATTTTGACAAAATGCAATTTTTGTTAACATTTTACTAGTCAAAACACTATATTTGCCTATTTCTCCATATACCACTTTTGGACTTAATCCTCGTTTCGATGTGATGGCTCACATTTCATTCTACAAAAAAATTCAGGGTTTTTTACTGTGTTCTGTGTACTTTTAAACTTCAATTTTTGTCATAAAAACATTTCACTGCAAGTTGAACTTTGTGTATGTGATAAAATTTATTTGATTTGATTGCTCTCATTTTTATCTTCTGTTGCTAACATATTTTATGAAGGCAATGCATCCCACATACAGAAAAAGCTATTGAACACATAATTTTGCAGTTTAGGTAAAAAT